TTGGCCACCTATGTCTGCAGTCTGCTTTGCCCTTCCCCGATCTTCATGCCTTTGCATTCGGCGGGGTTAAATTCGAGGAGCCAGTTGCTGGACCAGGCTTGTTGCCTGTCTAGATCCCTTTGTAGTCCTGCCTGATTCTCATCCAATTTAATTCTCCTCATTAACTTCACATCATCTGCAAACAGGGACACTTCTGAGTCTATCCCTTCCATCATGTTATTCACATATGTGTATGTGTATGTGTGTGTGTGTGTGTGTGTGCGCTTGTGTGTTTTAGTTTTGATCTGACGAACCTCCTGGTACATCATAGCAGGAGTTGTGACTCGACTCGTGCAGCTACAAATTAGGCAAGTACAGACAACACAGATGTATTAACAGACAGGATAACAGACACCATAACACAAGATAACACATACCTAACACAGATGTCAAAACAGACAGGATAACAAACACAATAACACAAGATAACACATACATAACACAGATGTCATAACACAGACAAGATAACACACATAACACAGAAGGGGAAACATGAAATAATAAACAACAAAAAATATAAAAAAAAAACTTGAAAGCAATGATTGTATAGGAAATGTAAAAAAAAAAAGGCCTAGAAAAAAAGTTGAGAAAAAATTTTAAATTTATCTGGGGAAAAAAAAAGTATTTGATAACGAAAGCTGAAAAAAAGAGGACAGAAATATTTCCATCCAGAAAGACCAAGCTGAAGAAACAGGAGGGGGGGGGGAGCAGGGAAACAGGAGGTGGGGGGAGCAGGGAAACAGGAGGGTGGGGGGAGAGGGAAACAGGAGGGTGGGGGAGCAGGGAAACAGGAGGGTGGGGGAGCAGGGAAACAGGAGGGTGGGGGAGCAGGGAAAAAAGGAGGGTGGGGGGAGCAGGGAAAACAGGAGGGTGGGGGAGCAGGGAAACAGGAGGGTGGGGGAGGCAGGAAAAAGGAGGGTGGGGGAGCAGGGAAACAGGAGGGTGGGGGAGCAGGAAACAGGAGGGTGGGGGGGCAGGGAAACAGGAGGGTGGGGGAGCAGGGAAACAGGAGGGTGGGGGAGCAGGGAAACAGGAGGGTGGGGGAGCAGGGAAACAGGAGGGTGGGAGAGCAGGGAAACAGGAGGGTGGAGGAGCAGGGAAACAGGAGGGGGGAAGGGAAAAAAGGAGGGTGGGGGAGCAGGGAACAGGAGGGGGGAGCAGGGAAACAGGAGGGTGGGAGAGCAGGGGAAAAAGGAGGGTGGGAGAGCAGGGAAACAGGAGGGTGGGAGAGCAGGGAAAACAGGAGGGGGGAGCAGGGAAACAGGAGGGTGGGAGAGCAGGGAAACAGGAGGGTGGGAGAGGGAAACAGGAGGGGGGAGAAGGGAAACGGAGGGGGGGGAGAGGGAAAAAGGAGGGGGGAGCAGGGAAACAGGAGGGGGGGAGCAGGGAAAAGGAGGGTGGGGGAGCAGGGGAAACAGGAGGGGGGAGCAGGGAAACAGGAGGGTGGGGGAGCAGGGAAACAGGAGGGTGGGAGGGGCAGGGAACAGGAGGGGGAGAAGGAACAGGAGGTGGGGAGCAGGGAAACAGGAGGGGGGAGCAGGGAAACAGGAGGGGGGGGGCAGGGAAAAGGGGAAAGGGGGGGGAGCAGGGAAACAGGAGGGTGGGAGGAAGGAACGGAGGGGGAGAGGGAAACAAAGGGGGGTGGGGGAGCAGGGAAACAGGAGGGTGGGGAGCAGGGAAACAGGAGGGGAAGGGAAACAGGAGGGGGGAGAGGGAACAGGAGGGTGGGGAGCAGGGAACAGGAGGGTGGGGGGCAGGGAAACAGGAGGGTGGGGGAGCAGGGAAACAGGAGGGTGGGGGAGCAGGGAAACAGGAGGGTGGGGGAGCAGGGAAACAGGAGGGAGGGGAGCAGAGAAACAGGGGGTGGGGACCAGGGAAACAGGAGGGGGGGGGAGCAGGGAAACAGGAGGGTGGGGGAGCAGGGAAACAGGAGGGTGGGGGAGCCCGGGAACAGGAGGGTGGGGGCAGGGAACAAGAGGGTGGGGGAGCAGGGAAACAGGGGGTGGGGGGAGCAGGGAAACAGGAGGGTGGGGGAGCAGGGAAACAGGAGGGTGGGGGAGCAGAGAAACAGGAGGGTGGGGAGCAGGGAAACAGGAGGGTGGGGGAGCAGGGAAACAGGAGGGTGGGGGAGCAGGGGAAACAGGAGGGTGCGGGAGGAGAATGGCAAGGAAAGGGGGAGGCAAGAGGAGGGAAAAGGGGGAGAAGGGGGAGGGGGAGGCAGGGGAGGGGGGGAGGAGGGGGGCAGGGGGGGGGGGAAAAGGGGGGGATGGGGGAGGAAAAAAGGGGATGAAAAGAGGAGGAGGGGGGGGAGGGCGGGGAGGGAGAGGGGAGGAGGAGGAGGAGGAGGGGGAGGCAGAGGAGGGGGAGGAGGAGGAGGAGGAGGGGGGAGGGCAGGAGGAGGAGGAGGAGGGATGGGAGGGGAGGAGGAGGGAGGGAGGGGGGAAAGGGGGGAGGCGGAGGGAAGGGGGGGGAGGAGGGGAGGGGGGGAGGGATGGCGGGGAGGAGGAGGGGGGGGAGGGGAGGGTTAAGGGGAAAGGGGGAGGAGGGGAGGAGGGGGAAGGGGAGAGGGGGGAGGGGGGGAAAAAGGAAAGGGGGGATGGGGGAGGAGGAGGGGGATGGGGAGAGGAAGGAGGAGGGGAAGGGGGGTCAGGAGGGGGAGGGGAGGAGGGCGGAAGAGGAGGAGGGGGAAGGAGGAGGGAGGAGGAGGGGGAAAGGGGGAGGGATGGCAAGGAGGAGGGGGGGAGGGGGAGGAGGAGGAGGGGAGGGGGGGGGAGGAGGAGGGATGGCGGGAGGGGAGGAGGAGGGGGAGGAGGAGGGGGAGGAGGGGGATGGCAGGGGAGAGGAAAGGGCAGGAGGGGGAGGGGATGGCAAGGGAAAAGGGGGGGGGAGGGGGGGGAAGGTGGGGGGGGGGGGGAGGGAGGAGGGGGGCGGGGGGGGGGGGGGCAGGGGGAGGGGGGGGGGGGCGGGAGGGGGGAGGGGGGTGGAAGAGGGGGGGGGGAGGGGAGGGGAGGAGGAGGAGAGGGGGGGGGATGGCAGGGGGGGGGGGGGGGATGGGGGGGAAGGGGGTGGGGGGGGGGAGGGAGGCGGGGGGGGGGGGGTTTTTCGGGGGGGGGGGGGGGGGAGGGAGGCGGGGGGGGGAGGGGGCAGGGGGGGGGGGGGTGGCAGGGGGGAAGGGGAAGGGGGGGGAGGGGTGCGGGAGAGGGGGGGTGGCGGGGGGGGGAAGGGGGAAAACGTGGGGGGGGGTGGGGGCAGGGGGGAAAGGGGGGCGGAGGGGGAAGGGGGGGAGGGCAGGGGGGGGGGGGGGGAGGGTTGGGGGGAGGGGGGGGGGGGCGGGGGGAGGGGGGGTAAGCGGGGGGGGGGGAGGCCGGAGGGGAGGAGGAGGTGGCAGGGGGGGGGGAGGGGGGCGGGGGGGAGGGAGGGGGGCCCGGGGGGAGGGGGTGGGGAGGGGGGGGGGGGGGGGGGTTTTGGCGGAGGGGGGGGAGGGTGGCGGGGGGAGGGGGGGGGGGGGGGGAGGGGGGGGGTGGCGGGGGGGGTGGCAGGGGGGGGGGGGTTTCAGGGGGGTGGGGGGGGGGGTTTCAGGGGCCGGGGAGGAGGAGGGAGGGCCCCGGGGGGGGGAAATGGGGGGCAGGGGGGGGGAGGGGAGGAGGGGGGGGGGAAGGGAGGAGGCAGAGCAGGGAGGCAGAGGAAGGATCCAGGAGGTGGAAGCAGGATGGAGGGTGCTGGGAGGAGGAGGACAGGAGGAGGGGAGGGATGCAGGAGGAGGGGATGGCAGGGGGGGAAGGGTTGGCGGAGGGGGAGAGGCGGAGGGAAGGGGGGGAGGGGATGCGGATGGAGGGTGGCAGGGGGGAAGGGAGGAGGTGCAAGGGGAGGCAGAGGTGGCGGAGGAAGGAGGCAGGTGGAGGAGGGAGTGGCAGAGGGGGGGAAAGGGATGGGCGCGAGCGGGGGCGGCGACAGCGGCGGTGATAGGAGCAGGCCTTTGGGGGCCAGGAGGAGGGATAGCAGGAAGGCGGGAGGGTACCGGAGGAGGGGGATGGCTGAGCGGCTAGCCGGGGTCAGGAGCGGGAAACCGAGGAGGGATTGAGGAGAGGCGAATCCCGGAGAGGAGGTAGGCAGGCAGAGGGATAGCGGAGAGGGGTGGGGAGATAGAAGGCCAGACGTAGGGAGGGATGTAGGACGATGGGAGGAGGGAGGAGGAGCAGGGGGGGGATGGAAGGACTTGTATCCAGGGGTACACGGGGCTACCAGAAAAACAGACAAGGATAACAAGCTAACAGAACAGTCAAGGAAACACAGTACAACGCAGTACACCAGTTGAAACACAGAAAAACAGTGAACGCAATAAAACGGAAAAACAATATAAACAGTGAAAACAGTGAACACAGTATACACGGTAAAACCCAGTATAACAGTGTAACACAGTATAACACGGTACAACCAGTAAACAGTGTAACCCCAGTTAACGGTAAAACCCTAGAAAACAGTGTAACACAGTAAAAACACAGTACAAACCAAGTAAAACAGTGTAACCAGTATAACACGGTACAACCTAGTAAAAAAACAGTGCAACATACTATAACACAGTGAAACCCAACATATAACCGGTACAACCCAGTATAACACAGTGCAACATATAAACACGGTAACACAATATAACACGGTAAAAACCCAGTAAACAGTTTAACACCCATATTAACATCCTCATTCGTACTCTCACCCCCCAAAACTGGGAGTTCCCGGAATGGAGCAGCGCCGATTCCCAACAAAAATTCGGAACGCGTGTCTTATTTCTAAGAAGAAAATGTAAGAAAACGAAGAGAGTAGAGAAGAGAGGAGAGAGAGGAGAGAGAGAAGAGAGAGAGAGAGGAAGAAGAGAAGAAGAGAGAGAGGAGAGAGAGAGGGAGAGAACACAACAGTTAGATAAACACAGTGTAGGTAAAGTACTACTGTACCAGTATACTTACAGTTTCTCGAGAGCTGGCAGGTGTGAGAGTATACCAGCTGGCAGACCAGTCAGACCACTCCCAGACAGGTCTCTGTAAGCACATCAAACTGGTTAGTTGTATGACTCTACTGGTCAGCTATACGACTCTACTGGTCAGCTTATATAACTACTAATCAGCTACGTGACTACTAGCCAGCTATATAACTACTAGTCAGCTATCTGACTATTAGTCAGCTATATAACTACTAGTCAGCTATATAACTCTACTAATCAGCTATATAACTCTACTAGTCAGCTATATGACTACACAGGTACACCAACAGTTGTAAAAGTCAATATATGAACATGCAAGTGAGCGGGGTGATTTACACTGTCAGAAGAAACAGCAACATTACTGCTGACACTGTCAGCAGACAGAGATGTAAATGTCTTCCTTTACTTACGACACTAGACTCTGCATGAGTGTGTCATCCACTGAGGACACTGTACATACCCAAGTCTTCAACTGGGCCACAGAAAATTATATTAAGTTCAATGAGGACAAATTTCAATTACTTTGCTGTGGAAAACTAGAGGAAATAAAAGCTAGATCTGAGTATAAAATAAATTCTAACCACACAATAGTGCGTGCAGCCAACAGTAACAGCCTGGTTGATCAGGCTCTGATCCACCAGGAGGCCTGGTCACAGACCGGGCCGCGGGGGCGTTGATCCCCGGAACTCTCTCCAGGTAAACTCCAGTTATCTCACTTTTAAAGATTACAACAATGTCATTATTACATCTACTAGGAAAATGACAGGATGGATTGATTATCAAATGGTATACAATACCGACAGGTTGGTAGTTAAGACACATAGGCAACATTTAGGCATCTTTATTCCGAAACGTTTCGCCTACACAGTAGGCTTCTTCAGTCGAGTACAGAAAGTAGGCGGGAGCAGTAGAGATGTGAAGGCGATGTAATCAGTCCATCACCCTTGAAGTCGTAGATTTGAAATTGTCAGTCCCTGAGCCTGGAGAAGTTCTGTTCCAAAGTCTGGAACTAACTGAAGATCAAGTGACAGTGTTGAGACTTAAATACTGTCGGAAGGAGAGGTGCAGAGTAGTAGCAGTAGTGAGAATATAGCCATTGAGAGGTCATGTCCCTCTCAGATCTAAACAGTCTCAACACTGTCACTTGATCTTCAGTTAGTTCCAGACTTTGGAACAGAACTTCTCCAGGCTCAGGGACTGACAATTTCAAATCTACGACTTCAAGGGTGATGGACTGATTACATCGCCTTCACATCTCTACTGCTCCCGCCTACTTTCTGTACTCGACTGAAGAAGCCTACTGTGTACATGACAGGATGGATAATGAGAACCTTCACAACCAGAGATGCCAAGCTAATGATGATCCTCTTTAAATCATTTATTCTCTCTAGACTGGAATATTGCTATACACTAACAGTCCCATTCAAGGCAGGCGAAACTGCAGTCCCTTGACCTGTACTCCCTGGAATGCAGGCGAGAATGATGCATCGTAATTTACGCCTGGAAAATCCTAGAGGGACTAGTCCCAAATCTGCACACAGAAATCACTCCCTACGAAAGCAAAAGACTCAGCAGGCGATGCAACATTCCCCCAATGAAAAGCAGGGGCGCCACGAGTACGCTAAGTGACAACACAGTAAGTGTCAGGGGCATAAGACTGTTCATCTACCTCCCAGCATACATAAGGGGGATTACCAATAGACCCCTGGCTGTCTTCAAGAGGCAGCTGGACAGACACCTAAAGTCAGTACCTGACCAGCCGGGCTGTGGTTCGTACGTCGGTTTATGTGCGGCCAACAGTAACAGCCTGGCTGATCAGGCTCTGACCCACCGCGAGGCCTGGTCACAAACCAGGCCTCGGGGGCGTTGATCCCCGGAATACCCTCCAGGTAAATAGACTGACGCTGTCTGGAGAGACAGCAACATTACTGCTGACATTGTCAGGGGAGACAGCAACATTATTGCTGACACTGTCAGGAGAAACAGGAAGATTACAAGTAATCTTACAACCTTCCACTGTATGTAAAAGATCACAGGTAAATCTTACAACCTTCCACTGTATGTAACAAGATCACGCAAGATCACAGGTAAATTTTACAACCTTCCACTGTATGTAACAAGATCACGCAAGATCACAGGTAAATCTTACAACCTTCCACTGTATGTAACAAGATCACGCAAGATCACAGGTAAATCTTACAACCTTCCACTGTATGTAACAAGATCACAGGTAAATCTTACAACCTTCCACTGTATGTAACAAGATCACAGGTAAATCTTACAACCTTCCACTGTATGTAAAAGATCACAGGTAAATCTTACAACCTTCCACTGTATGTAACAAGATCACGCAAGATCACAGGTAAATCTTACAACCTTCCACTGTATGTAACAAGATCACAGGTAAATCTTACAACCTTCCACTGTATGTAACAAGATCACAGGTAAATCTTACAACCTTCCACTGTATGTAACAAGATCACAGGTAAATCTTACAACCTTCCACTGTATGTAACAAGATCACAGGTAAATCTTACAACCTTCCACTGTATGTAACAAGATCACAGGTAAATCTTACAACCTTCCACTGTATGTAACAAGATCACAGGTAAATCTTACAACCTTCCACTGTATGTAACAAGATCACAGGTAAATCTTACAACCTTCCACTGTATGTAACAATTAATGAGTGCTGGTCTGGGACCGGGCCGCGGAAGCGATGATCCCGGTGCCACTCAGCAGGCAGTGAAACATCCCCTCAGTGAAAAAAAGGGCATCATGAGTACACTAAGAGAAAACACAACAAGTGTCAGGGGCCCCAAGACTGTTCAACAGCCTCGCAGCATACATAAGGGGGATTACCAATAGACCCCTGGATGTCTTAAGAGGCAGCTGAACAGGCACCTAAGTCAGTACCTGACCAGCCGGGCTGTGGTTCGTAGTCTGGTTACGTGCGGCCAGCAGTAAAAGCCTGGCTGATCAGGCCCTGATCCACCAGGCAGACCGCTGTCTGGTGCTATCTAAGCTTCGCCCTGTCTACCTGTTAATGTAGATAAATGGTTCAGAGAACCGACTAGTTGATAAATTAGACAGGAGCTGTGACTCGACCCCCCTGCAGCCACAAATACGTAACTATACGTGCAACACTTGGGCGTCTTTACTGTAAAAACGTTTCGCCACACATTGGCTTCATCAGTCCAATACAAAGAAGTGTAAACATCAGAAGGATTTTGAAGTAATCAGTCCCACAGCCTGGAGTCGATGTAATCAGTCCATCGATCTTATCAAGACTGAGGGACTGATTACTTCAAACTCCTTCTGATCTTCGCCATTCTTCGTATAATTTACCAGCTGTTAATGTACTGTTGTGTGTTAAGTACTTCCAGAGACCATCGACCCTCGACTCGGTCCCAGACCAGGACTACGTAGACTGAAAAATAATATAGCCAGAAGACTGCCTCATCGAGGAGACAAAACAGCTGCAATATGTGTGGTACAAACATCTGTACTTGTATCACGCACACACACAGGTGTCAAGTACAAACACAAGTGCTGCCGCTTATCTCTAACACACAAAGGATCAATGCAAACACATATGTATATATGTATGTATGTATGTATACATATCAATGCACCACGCAGAAACAAGCGGGTATGTACAGAGAAAGATCGCAATTCCTGCAAATCGACGAGTATTACCTATTCGGCACATTTATTATACATAATATTTTATAATATATTTATATTATTATATATATATATTTTAAAAATATAATTTTTATATATATATATATATTATATATATAAAGATGAAAGATTGAATATAGATTGGAGGGAGAGGTTGGAGGAGGTGAATCTAGAAGGATGGGGGAAAAGAGTGAGTGGTGCACTTGGGAGTCTGTGGGCAAAAAAATTTGTCTTGGAGGCAAAGAGGGGAATGTATGGAGTATAGTTTTTACCAACGCTTTTATGGGTGTGAAGCTGGGTGATGAATGTTGCAGCGAGGAGAAGGTGGAGGCAGTGGAGATTCAGTCTGGGGGCAATGTGTGGTTAAATAAAATGCGAGAATTTTTAGTTTGGAAGTTAGGGGGGGTGCGGGATTACCAAAACTGTTGCCCAGGGGGCTGAGGAGGGGTTGTTGAGGTGGTTCGGAATGGGGAGAGAATGGAGCGAAACAGAATAATTCAAGAGTGTATCGTTTAGTGCAAGGAAGGCGGGGTAGGGGTCGGGCCCAGGAAAGGTTGGAGGGAGGGGGTAAGGAGGTTTTGTGTGCAGGGGGTTTGGCTTCGCAGGATGCGGAGCGTGTTTTATAGGGTGAATGGGAAAAAAAGGTTTTTAATTATGCGTGTGTTGGGGTGTGAGCAAAGTAACTTTTTAAAGGGTTCAGGGAAACCGGCAGGCCCGGGCTTGAGTCTGGAGGGGAAGAAAGTGCCTGCACTCTGAGGGGGGTGTTAAATTTTTGCTTTTAAAAACTGTAGTTTTAAAGCCCCCTTCTGGAAAGACAGTGATGGGGAAATGAGGTGAAAGTTTTTCTTTTTGGGCCACCTGCCTTGGTGGGAATGGGCCAGGTGTTTTTTTTAAATAATTATATATATATTTTTTATATATATATATATTATATATTATTATGTGTGTGTGTGTGGGTGTGTGTGGGTGTGTGTGTTTGTGTGTGTGTGTGTGTGTGTGTGTGTGGTGTGTGTGTGTTGTGTGTGTGTGTGTGTGTTTTGCGCGGGAGAGAGAGAGAGGCGCAGAACCACCACTGTTAAAAAATAGCGAAATTCCAAGCGCTGTTTTGTGCTTGTCTCAACTGTGGGGGGTTTTGGGGACTTTTGCTTTTGGGGGGGGTGTGTAATGGACGGTGTATATAATATTTTTTATTATTTTTTATATATATATTTATTAGAGAAAAAGGGTTTTGTAGTTAAAAATGGAGAGGAGGTTTTAAAAATGGGAGTTAGGGTTTTGGGGAAGATGGAAGGTATTTTTGAGGAATTTTTAAAAAGTGATAAAGTAGGGAAGCTGTGATTTGGATGGGGCAGGGGGAATAAATTTGTAGGA